GCATCGATCCATCAAATTAGTTTGAATTTTAGGTTTTATAAACATCTCAAGTCCCTTAAGATTATATAAACATTATTAACAAAAAATAACTTAATGTTTAAAGGTAATTTTATGAGCCTTATACATAATCTGCAAGATATTTTAATCAATCAACTCATAAAATTTTAATAATTTCAATTTAGAAAATAATGCATTCGATGGATGACAGTAATGTTTTCTGGTGATAATTCTGATGGCTCTTTTCTGTAAAATAAATATTAAATATTCACATACATTATAAAAGGATTATATTGAATCTTTGTCACTGTCTCCCATTCTGAGCAGCACTGGTGACAGTGGGAAGCAAAATCTCCCTTTTAMYAGGAAGAAACCTCCAGCAGAACCAGGCTWAGATCTGTATTGAYTSGCTGAGAGTTAGAAGGGACAGAAAAGAAATAAACACAGACTGACTGGTCCGGGTGTGGTTTCTATGAGAGGAAAGACAAAGAAAAACACATTTTAATGGTAAAAATTATTACAACATCAAACAAGAGAAGAGAGAGTAAAGACAGCAGCACATTGAGGAAATGTGGTCAGCAGTCAAATCCAATAGCAGCAGAACTAAAGGATACCTCAGGAAACCAACCCAAACTAAAGGATCATCAAAAATAAATAAAAATAAATAACTTAAGCCAATTAAAGTTTCAGTTTTTTGGAGAAACAGGAGTCTGAGATCTGGAAGCTCTGCCTCCCGTTCTGCTTTTAGAAACTCTAGGAACAAAAAGTAAACCTGCAGTGAGAGTGAAGTGCTCTGTTAGGAAAAAAGAACAAGATCTGTAAAAAAAAACGAAGCTTCTTGATTGAGAGCTTTGTATGTTAGACATAAGATTTTGTTTYATTAATTATAAACTGGAACTTACAAACTCTTAAGAGACAGAAAACGTTTTATGTTAAGGGTTTTATGTTAGAAATATATCAAGTAAAAAAGATCCTTCAATTCCAGTTTAGAACTATTTTGAGCTAGGAAGCTTATGAAAGCTCAGCTGTGCTTTTTCTGCATTCTGGGGGGATTTGAGAGAGAAAAACATGTCCGATAGCAGAGAGAGACAAACTGCATTTTCAATWTCCCCTTCATCTCTATTATTTCTTTCTTCTTGAGTTTACACACATTTTGTCTACATGTTTAGCTCATCATCCCTACAAGTCATGGATTCTCAAGCAAGCCACACATTTTGGTGCCTAATTTGTATGTTTCATTTTAAAGCTGTGCGATTAAAAATACTGGGAGAAAARGAAAACATTTAAACAGGATAGCAAGGATGCTTTAAAGTTTATGCATTGGCATCGTTACAGAAAGAATTTAAAAAAGGATAGAAAACACTGCGTGAAACTAACACGCGTGTACAGATACTTATCCATCCATTCACTCACTCACCCACAATTAGTCAGACGTTTGCTCAGAGAGGAGGAAGAACAGGTGGCCGCAGATGGAGACAGAACACTTAAGATCAATATATTCTGCGGAGATGACTGCGTTTGCTCTGTTTACTGAAGTGAAACAAGCGAAAAGGAGACTGGCTCGGGCTGGTTGCTGAGAGTAACACTCCCATAACAGAACAGATACGAGAGCAGTTTATGAGTGGAGTGAATACAAATAAAAACAGTCAACCAGAAGAACAGGAGGATGGGAAGGAAAAGCAAGAAAACTAAAGTTTCCTTAAATCGTTGCGCTGTTGTAGATCTACRTTTTAATTCCAGCATCCTTGGCAATGGCACAGCAACCAATAAACTGATAATCCTGTTTAGATTGAGGGTTTTGCACCAAGCAAAGTGTGTGAGAGTGTGTATATGCGTTTTTACGAGGGGTGGGGTGGATCGGTGYGAGGGTGCGTGGCTTTGGCCAAGAAAGCAACTCACCAAATTRAGCACGGATAGAACAAGGTCAGAGAGACTGATGTGAAATGATTAACAAAGTAGAAACAAGGACACAGAGGGATGGAAGGAGGCAGTCATTAGAGGAGTTAGAGGAGGAGGAGGAGGTACCTTGCTGCCCTCGGGCCTATGAGCGGCAGGATGGGGAGGGGCTTTGACGACAGGGAGGGAGGCAGCAGACAAAGAGGGAGAAGAAGCAGAGCACGTTAGGAGAAGGAGGGAGAGGTGGGAAGGTAGAGGCTGGCAGACCGAGAGATGCGGCTCCACAGAGAGAGGATCCGCGAGGCTGCACCCTCCTCGTCCGTTCGTCGGGGACCGCGAGGTGCTGCGGAGCAGGGATGAACAGATCCACATCAGGAGGGTTTCACCTTGAGCCGGAGTCAAAGAGTACCTCGCTGGACCTTTAGGACTACAACTAACTCTGATCTGATCACCTGCCAAAATAAAAGGAGCTTCAGCTTCAGCAGGTCCTGGACTGCGGCCAACTTTACTCCAGCAGGTCTGTGTGGACAGACGAATCCCCAGTCGGGAGGACAGACCTCGGGACTCTCACAGCTGTTTCCTAAACGTGGATCTGTGACATCCACCGGTCACGCTGGAGTCCCGCAAAGCCAAGCAGGTCCTGCAGCTCGGGAGCCCCGGGGCTGGCCTGACCTTGGACCAGCTGTCACCCCAGCCCCACCTGGCGCCGGCAGAGGCGTCCGGCATGCCTCCGACCAGGGGACGGTGCCACAACAAGAAGGCTGGCATCCGGGCCGCCGTGATCCTGATCGGACTCCTGCACAAGTCTCGCAAAGCCAAGGAGAAGGAAAGAGAGAGGGAGGAGAGTGAAGGGTGGGTGAGCTCTTCTCAGGTGCGGGGTGGGGGGTGGGGGTGTGAGTGCCCGGGGGCCAAGCAGACGGTCTGCAGTGCGGTGCTGAATCTGGACTGTGGAGAGAACTTTACTAGCTTGTTATTCCAGAGACAGGAGGGGTGTGTGTGTGTGTGTGTGTGTGTGTGTGTGTGTGTGGGGGGGGGGGTTCTTTGGTCTCTTCATGGTTCAGTAAGTTTGCATCTGGTTGGAGTGAGCTTGTCTCCGAGTGTATTTTGAGTGAGTGTGCGTCTCGGTGACCACACTTATTTGTGTATCTGGGTCGGTGGAAATGACATACTGAAAAGAGAGCTGGAGCGATGGAGGGAGTGGGGGGGGTACGGAGGAGTGTGGGTGAACGCAGGTCCGCTCTGGATGTTTCTGAATGAGAGAGACTGAAAAAAAAAGCAGAGAGCGAAGCATGACAGAGCTCTTCCACTCCCACTTCTTCTTTTTGTCCAGGCCTTGCAGGTTTATTTACAGTATTTGCTGGCACATGTTGATGCTTATACTAAGTTAGCTGCTTAACCCCTTTAACTCTGGGGTCACATGGGGTCAACATGTGAGTGCAATTCAGTTTGTCTGACTAAATTGTTCCTTTAAAGGTGACATTGCTTCTAGGATTGTTTYACATTGCACTCCAAATGCACTCACTGCGTGGGCGTTCCCGTCCTCCTGCTGTGTAGCTGGATCATCTTACCACTAATACAACCATAAGTCACATACAGTCCATAAGACTCCTGAGAATATCCCACCTGGTAACACACAGGGCTTAGGGTGGGCAGGGTCCAGACTGCCACCCCTTCCCCTCCCCTTATCCTCCTCCTTGGTTCGACCGGTTTCCCTGAGCTAATATTTGCAGCAACGTGTGTCCCGTACAACTCAACTGGAACCTGAGATAGCGGCTCCAGACTCGAGGGTTCAGGCTCGTCCTGATGGAGGACGTGCGGATCGGGATGTGTGCACTTTGCTGCTTTGTTTTCATAACTCGGACTAAAATAGTCGGCGTCAAAATAGACTGCAGCTCGCTTTGCAAATACGGATGAGTTTACATCATCTGAGAGCGTGAGAGTTTATGTAATTTAGTTTAGATTGTGTAAATTTAACTCTTGGAGGTGAGATGAGAGCACCAACCAGGCAGATCAGGACATCTGAATGTGAATAAAAGCAGCAGGTTTTATTGTGTGTGTGGCAGTTTCCCTATGATGATTATTTCTGTTTTAGAGCTTGAAAGCCTATAGTAAAGCCTTTTTTCCCATCTACTTAATTTACATTAAAAATAAATATAATATTAACTGAGGCTAACTGAGGTTATTATTGATTATATTAAAAGCCTGCAAATCCCTGAACAAATGCCCTCAACTCCAATAGTTAGCGCTAATTGTTTAAAGGGGACACATCATGCAAAATCCACCCTTTTTTAGCTGTTAAATACATTTTGTTGTGGACTTGTAGTCTGCAGAAACAATGAATTTCATCTTTCCCGGTGCTGCAAAGATATCTTTATATTCTGTTTGGGTCATATTTTTCAGCCTGTTCAGTTTTCTCTGTTTTCTGTGACATTTTGTGATCTATTACATCAAATTGTCTGCAACAGAATTACCATATACGGTCTGCACTTACAAACTTCAATTTCCTCGTCTTAATTCTCCTCAGTTTCTGGGTCAGACTCTGGTTCTGGGTCAGACTCTGGTTCTGGGTCAGACTCTGGCTCCAACATGTAAGGCTGGATGGACAAGTCTTCCCTTGTTGACATGTTTTATTTAAATTGTAAATTAAACATTTCTGCAAGCTATGAAATGCTAAGCCCTTCTCTCAAACCAGAGTAGACAGGTCTGGAAGCTGGAGGGGGCGGGGCTTAAAATGCCTTAAAGGAATGGTAACAAAATCAACTACTTTGAGACGCACCTCAGAAAAGGGGTGAAAGAGGGGCTGGTGACGTTAGAGTAGGATGGAATTCAAATCAAAGCATTGCAGTTCCACTTTATAAAGACCCCAACTGAATGATTTAAATGTGAAAATGAAGTATTTAAAAGCACGATATGTCTCCTTTAAGCAACAATTTCGCACAATATGTTGTATTTTGGACCTGTGATAAGGGACACTTCCTGCTACTACCACACCAAATTTTAGCTCCATATCTGTAAATTTGGGTGGGATAGTCATTTTTGAGTTGTATAAGGCAACCATTTTGAATTGGGTTGACTTCAAAATTTTATTAGGTTTAAATGTGTACCAGTGATTACTTCCTGTGTTTCATGAAAGTGGTTCATGAGATATTTTGTTGACAGGACAAACATACACAGAGACACAGGCACAGACTTTATCACCTGCTTTGCTTTTACTCGTGTGGCAACAAAAACTCAACAAACATACATTTATAGGCTTGACTTAGAGACTGCTGTTGGTCTCTTTATGCCAAACAACAAACGGAAAATTGCGTCCTGAAAGCTGCAATATCCTGAAGYGCAGCTTTTTATTGTGTCATTATTACTGCGACCGGGTCATGAGAAGATCCTGTCACAATTGGCAACAATTTGAAAGTGTCTTTTACCAAGTGGTGGTTATGATCTGCATGATTGCATCTTTTCAGAGCTCAAATTTCTTCTGACTACCGGCCATTTATTGTAAGAGGATATTTCATGCACTTAAGGCAATTATTCTTCATGTGAATACAGAGAAAATGTGAAATATTGACTATTATTAGACCTGGGCATTTGGCACTACATTAAAACTGTTTAAAGAAGGTTTTATTGAGTCTTTACTCTATTTGACATTTTGTCTACAGATTTATTATCATCTATGATAAGTCAAAGACACACAAAGTGCATTTATAGAACCAAGCAGTCTTGGTTTTTTTTCTTTGTTTTTCTGTATGTTCCTCTYCCTTGCTCTGAACTGACAGAAACACAGTATATTTGTCCTCCTTTCACTTGAAAAGCTCTGTTGCTTTTTTCTCATCTGCAAAAARTGGTCAATAATGTTTTTGTCTTTGTGTATGTGTCTGTTAGCAAAATATTTCTTTAAACACAAAAACTTTTTTTGAAACTCTCAAAGGAATCATTGTATATCAACAACTGTTGTGTAATCAMCCTCATTCAAGATGGCCTCCACCATGAAGTTCGATGGCTTAACACTGCAAATGATCTTTGCTTAAAACATTGGCATAATTGTTTTGAGTTAGCCTGTTTGCCTGTTCAAAAAAAATTTCTAACAAACCAATGGATGGATTTTAATTMAACTATCAGAAATAAATAATTGGACATACATGCACAACCTTTGAAATCAATCAAATTCAAGATGGATGCCACAATGAGTCAATTTTATAAATATTGAGCTAAAACTTGGTGTGGTTCTTGCTGAAACTCATTCTCCACACACACTATTATGTAGTGTCAAGCGTAAAAACAAATGTTTAAAAAATGTCACAAAAACATTTTCATTAATTCACTTTCAGAG